AGGAAATGAGTGAGCTACACAAGTCCCAATATGACTCGATTTTAGCAAGCCGCTAACCAGACTGAGAATCGAAGATCAAAATGAATTTTTTATGAGAGAACCACAAAATGTTGATTAACACAAGCCTATCCAGATGTTTCCATGACGCCAATGACTTTGAATAGGCGATAAAATGACATGCCATGCACTCCTGCCCCAGGGCCAGACTCATGACAACTCTGTGAGTCATCAAGAACCTGCAAGAAGCCCCTATCACGAGCCTTTTCATCCTATGGAGAGGGAGCATGGACACGGGGGATGTCCCTCAAGTTACTAAAAACAACGACCCCCCATATCCCCACTCCACAAGGGGGCAGTAAAGCAACAGCAAAGAACTACAGACCAATAGCACTAACATCCATATCTAAAAATCTTTGAAAGGTCTAAGAAGCAAGATCACCACCCAATCAAGAAACCCACAGTTACATAACCCAGGGCAACATGTTATTAGAACAGTCGCTCCTGACTGTCTCAACTACTGATCACTACGACAAGGTCCTAAATGCACTAGAAGACAAAAAGAAGGCAGATGTAATAGATACAGACTTTGCAAAAGCTTCGACAAGGTGACCATGGCGTAATAGCGCACTAAATGCACGCTAAAGGAATAACAGGAAAAGTCGTCGATGGATCATATAATTTCCTCACTAAAGAACACAGAGAGTATCGTCAACAGAGTAAAAGTCCGAGGCAGCTACGTGAAAAGGCTTGTTCCACAAGGCACAGTACTAGCTCCAATCTATGTTCCTCATCCTCATATCCGACATAGACAAGGATGTCAGCTCACAGCACCGTGTCCTTCCTTTGCAGATGACACCCGAATCTGCATGACAGTGTCCTTCCATTGCAGACAACGGCAAGGCTCCAGGCGACAACAACCAAATCTTCAGTGGCTGCTGAAACAAATATGAATTTCAACGATGAGAAATTTCAATTACTCAGATAGGTAAACATGAGAATTTAAATCTTCATCAGATTACAAAACAAATTTCTGCCACTAAATAGAGCGAAACACCTACGTCAAAGACCTGGGAGTGATTATGTCGGGAGGATCTCACCTCAAAGGACCATAACATTGTATCAAATCGAGCATCTGCAGAAAAAATGACAGGACGGATTATGAGAACCTTCAAAACTAGGGAGGCCAAGCCCATGATGACACTCTCAGGTCACTTGTTCTATCTAGGTCTGAATATTGGCTGCACTCTAACAGTAAAAAAAGCACCTTTCAAGCGGTGGAAAATGGTTCGCGACCTAATATAGGATATTGTACAGAGAACTTTCAACGGCGCGCAAAAAAAATAACGGAGATAAATCACTCAATTACTGGAGCGCAGAGGTTTCCTAAACCTGTATTCCCTGGAACGCAGAGGGAGAGATACATGATTTATATACCACCCTGGAAAATCCCTAAGGGACAAGTACCGAACTTGCACACGAAAATCATCACTACGAAAGCAAAAGACTTGCAGACGATGCACCATCCCCCAAGAAAAGCAGGGTGTCCTAGCACGGTTAAGAGACCATACAATAAGTGTCAGGCCCGAGACTGTTCAACTGCCTCCCAGCACACATACGGGGGATTTAACCACAGACGCCCTGGCAGTCCTTCAAGCTGGCACTGGACAAGCACCGAAAAGTCAGTTCCTGATCAGCCGGGCTGTGGCTCGTACGTTGGTTTGCGTGCAGCCAGCAGCAACAGCCTGGTTGATCAGGCGCTGATCCACCATGAGGCCTGGTCACAGACCGGGCCCGCGGGGGCGTTGACCCCCGAAACTCTCTCCAGGTAAACTCCAGGTAAACACTAGCAGGTACAAAGGAGTCCCTCCTAGATGATCTTACAGGTGATGATATTGTGAAATAGATCTCATCCTGATTCCTTCCAAATGTGAAATCATCTGAGTCAGTGATAAATGCAGTGAGATCAAAACTACCAGGAGCATCAGTCATTGCCCTCGCAAATAGCATCTTGCTTGGAGCACCTCAGGGAAGCGATGCCATTGACACAGTTCTCAGGAAGAAATTGGAAGAGTTGAGGAGAATGGAACAATGAATAGGCAATCTGGACACCCACGATGCCTTGTACTTTCTCACAAAGTCCTTGAGTTTGCCCAGGATGACATATTTCCTAAGATGGGCACTTTCATATGATACATATAAGGCACAAATATGACAGTATCCTGAGACAGATTTTACCGAAAGTACTTAACCTTACTCTAGAAGACGGCAAGTGTACAAGCTACACTTCCATCAGACTAGAGGCAATGGTGTCCGCAAGTCACATCACAGATTGCGCTACTGCTTTTTCTTGTCCACATGTACTGCATCCATAGGGCTGTAGCAGCGATTTTCCTGAACATCTAGGTACAAGAATTGGATTCCCATGACCAAAGTTTATTGATGGAGCCATGATCTGGGATAATCTATGAGGCTCTGAAACCAGACCTGCTCCCCCCAACAACTACAAACAGTCGCACTGGGATGGCCCTATAGTGGAGAACAAAGCCTCAACAATGCTCCAGAGTGTGTCACGCCTCCTGGCAGTGACAGCTCCTCATGCGGGGGATTTTCTGTTGGCTGTTCCAAACTCCAGCTTTGGTACATGTCTCGACTCACAGACCATCAGCATTAGTGTTACTCTTCGACTTGCCGTCCCTATTCTCACCAAACACAGGTGTATTTGTGGCAGTTAAGCACCAGACCGATTCGGGTACCACGGTCTTGTGTGCCGTAAATCCGAGGGAAAGATTGCAAGACATGAGGAGGTTAATAATATTATCAAGAGGAGCCTCACAACAGCCGGATGCCCAGAAGTAAGGGAGCCACCCCAACTATGCAGATCTGATGGGAGCCAGAAGCGTCCAGATGGTATCACCCTTCAAGCCTGGACAGACAGTAAACAGGTGGTGTGGGACTATACATGCACATGAACCTTGGCTGATACCTATCTCCAATACACCAGGGAGGAAGGAGGGGCAGCAGCCAGCTTCAGGGGAGTCCCAAAAGTCTAGATAATATGGAGAACTTGCCCATCATTATATGATTGCTCCCATAGGCTCAGAGACCCTTTGCTCATGGGGAAGGAGTGCATCTAGGTTCCTTAAGGAGCTCTGCAAAAGACTCATCAGGGTAACTAGGGATCCCAGGGAGGTCAGTTTTCTGTTCCAGCGACTCAGTGCGGCTGCTCATAGAGTAATTGCCTGGCTGTTTTTTTGGCCACACGCCCACTCGAGAGCTGGATAAGATTTTCGCATTATATCAGTGACAAACACATAACAGTATGTACTAGACATGTATCTCTCACACCTCATGTACTGTATGTGTCATCTTTGTATCAGCAATGTTTCTTTTATATCTTCTGTACGCATATTATGCATAAATATACCTATTGGTACAAAAGAATGAAAAGATGGGAGGTAGGGGAAGTGGAATATTCAAACAGCTTGAGAGAAATCAAATATTCTTCTTGAAGGCTTTTATCTACTTCTCCGAGGCTAATGGGTCCCCACAATTTAACACCAGAGTGACCCCTCTATATATATATATATAATATATATATATATATATATATATATATATATATATTAAATATATAAATATATAAATTTATCAACAAGTCGTCCGTCTCCCACGAGGCACGGTGACCCAAAAAGCAGAAAATCCCCCAAAAGAAAATAATTCATCATCATTCAACACTTTCACCTCACACACACATAAACACTGTTGTTGCGAGGTGCTGACGGGGGGGGGGGGGAATTACAACTGTTTAGAAGCATATACGTATAAAGATACACAACATATCCCTCCAAACTGCCAATATCCTAAACCCCTCCATTAAAATGCAGGCATTGTACTTCCCATTTCCAGGACTCAAGTCCGGCTATATAAAATAACCAGTTTCCCTGAATCCCTTCACTAAATGTTACCCTGTTCACACTCCAACAGCCCATCAGGTCCCAAATACCATTCGTCTCCATTCACTCGTATCTAACATGCTCATGCACGCTTGGTGGAATTCTAAGCTCCTCTCCCACAAAACCTCCTTTACCCCCTCCCTCCAACCTTTCCAAGGACGATCCGAACCCTGCATTCCTTCCCCTACAGATTTATACGCTCTCCATGTCATTCTTCTTTGATCCATTCTCTCTAAATGACCAAACCACCTCAACAAACCCTCTTCAGCCCTCTGACGAAAACTTTTGTTAACTCCACACCTTCTCCTAATTTCCGCACTCTGAATTTTCTGCATAATATTTACACCACACATTGCCCTTGACAGGACACCTCCCACTGCCTCCAACCACCCCTCGCTGCAGCATTTACAACCCAAAGCTTCACACCCATATAAGAGTGTTGGGAACTACTGTACTTTCATACCTTCCTTCTCTGCCTCCTTAGATAACCGATTTTTGACTCGACATATACCGTCAATGCACCACTCACCTTTTTTCCTCATCAATTCTGTGATTAACTCATCATTCAGAAATCCATCCAGCTGACACGTCAACTCCCAAGTATCTGAAAACATTCACTTCGTTCCATACTCCTCTTCCCAAATTGATATCCATTTTTCTTTATCTAAATCATTTGATTACCCTCATCACCTTACTCTTTTCTATGTTCACTTTCAACTTTCTACACTTTACACACACACACCAATTCGTCCACTAGCCTTCGCAATTTCTTTAGATCTCCCATAACAACAGTATCATCATCAAAAGTAACTGTGTCACATCCAATTTTATATTTAATACCTCAAAACAATTTTAATCCCAACCCCCTCCTCTCGGAACACCCTAGTCATTTACTTCTTTTACAACCCAATCTTAAATATATTAAGCAACATGGTGACATACACACCTGTGTAAGACCTTCTTTACCCGGATAGCTCCCTCTTTCTACACACCTAACCTGAGCCTCACTAGCCTCATAAAACTCTTACAGCATTTAGTTTAACTTACAAAACCACCTATTTCCATATACTGCAACATCTCCACAATTGCTCCGCTATCCACTCTAGCTATATCTTTTACTAAATCCAT